GCCTTTCTGAGCTCTTCTTCCTCCCTCCCCTTCTTTCCCCTCCCCCATTTCCTCCCCCCCTCCCATATCTTGTAGGAGACGAGCGCTGGCTTTGCCTCAGTCCTTTTCCCCGGGATTCCCCCAGATCTGTGACCCTGCGACGCTTCCTTGAGCGAAAGCGCGCCCTGGGTTGAGTCCTCGTTGGCTCTGTACAGAGACAGGATTGTTGTAAAGGCAAAAGAGGCAGAAATGAGGGGAGACCTCTCAGACCATGGAAGAATTCCAGTTTCCTCATCCAGCCCCGGGCCTCCTCAAAGTACCACACCTGGCCACAGCTACCCAGTGCCATCGGCAGAGAAAAGGACCCCGCGTCCCTTTCGCTATGCTCTCGCTCCTTGCTTTGGCCCCCATGGTGACGGGAAAAGAAGGCCTCCTGATTAATCACGTCTGAAGGTTGATGACACGCACGAGCGCCGCTGCACGCATGGGGAACCCGAGCACAGAGGTGGTTCAGGAGGGGCAGAGCAGCCCCCCTCCTTGCCCTGGCCCACTCTCCCTTCGATTTCACGCTCATTAAGTATTCTCCCTTCGCAATATTTAGGCACAGTTAAAGAACGGCTGCGTTGGGAAAAGCCCCTCACCGTAAAAATGCGTTGATGGAGAAATTCCCACCAGAGGGCGCCAAGAGCCCAGAGACCTAGCGGCCCTGCGCCGGGGTGTCTCTCCTCCAGCGTCCGAGCCGAGCCCACACCTGGAGCCGCTGGCCAGGCTGCCTCTTCATGCCTTCCCTCATAGACCTGTTACTCGTTTAAGTTCTCCCCTTTTTTCTTCCCCGGTTTCTTTTTCTTTAGGGCAAAAAAAGTGGACGTCTATGCGTGTGTGCGTGAGACTGTGTACGCAGTGATTCCTTTACTGGTATTCACCGTGGTCCTCTCCACCTCCCCGGGTGGTGCAGCAGGCAGAGGTTATTTATGCCCACGTCTGAGGTCTTGCTGGTTCAGCCGAGGCCCGTCCCTTTTCTTTGAATGCCTTGTCGCCTTCTGCCACAACACAAGGGAAACACAAAAAAATCTTATAAATCACCGATAATTCCACGAGGGAAATCGAAGGGTCTGTCCTGGACAGATTGGTCTGATCAGCAAGAGGGATCTCGCTGTGGGGTTTGAAATCACCGCTTTGCCTTCGGTACTAAGGAAACTACTGTTTTGTCGCCTTCTCCCCACCTGACAATAAAATCCCGGGCACTTCTTTTTAAGGACACAAAAAACATCTAAACGGTTGGGCGCGCGGTGGCCGCAGCCCTGGGCACTGAAGCTTGGGGCTGGACAGGCTGGGGGTGCCTGCTCCACGTAGGAAACGTCCCCCTAAACCGCTCAACCCGCAGCTGCTCTGCCCCGCTTGAAGTGGGCGGCATACAATGAGGTGAAGCTCGGAATTCCATCCACGGGCCCTCCTAGAGCCTTCCTTAAATAAGACGATCTCACCAATCAGGGAGCCAGGTGCCAGTGCTAAATCATTCAAGACTCACGGGGCAGGAGACAGGAGGGAGGAGGCAACACATCTCCCGGTGCCCCTCGGTATTCACTGTCCATCTAGACGCCAGCTCGCCCTGTCTCCTCAACCTTTTCCCCAAACCCGAGATTCGCCCGAAAGGAAGATTCGTTTTCTTCCCCTGTGGCACTAGATTGAGACATTTCCAACCACTTCCTCCTTTGACCGCCGAGTCCAAAACACCCCCAACGTTTTAGCCAATACGATAATCTCGTTGGAGAAGGAATCTCCTGCAAACCTAGGTATCTCAAATTGAAGCTGAGTCCATCCAGTTTCTAGGACATCCTTCTCTTTCTCCTTTATGGTAAGGAGGGGAGGAATGACGCCTGTTGCCCTTCCTTGTTTAGAATGTTTAATTGAATATTAGCAATAATTGATTAAACGAATATTTATTAATCCCCTACTATGTATGTGCCAAGCACTTTTTTTTTTTTTTTTTGGAGTTTGCATTGTCCCTGCGGTTTATATTATCCTGCATGCCGGAGTGGACATTCCAGTGAGGCAGGGAAAGGAGCGGACTTAGAGACTTCATAAATTTAATTTCCAATGATCTTCCCCTCCAGCTCGGATTCTTGGGCACAGCAGGAATGGTAAGGAATTGAAGGCCTGGAATTCCACCCCATCCTGATACCCAGTTTTGAGGTAGAGCATAGATCTTTCAGCACGAAGGACAGCTCCCGCCCTTCTGGTGTCCAAGCCTCGGTTTCGTCCGCTTCCGCCAATAGCTCTGGGCCAACCCGCCAGGCTCGCCCCAGCCCTCCTCCCTCCTGGCAGTAACTGCTGTGTTTGTTTTGTCTAGTTGGAGGGTGGGGTATTTCGCCCACTGCTCTCCTCTACGGTAGGAATTTGGACTAAGAGTGGCCGTGGTTGTCTTTCGGCTCTTCACAACATTTGAAACCTACTTTTTTGTTTTTATCTTTCACTCTTCCTTTAATCTTTTATTACTCCTGGGGGAGGATTCTTGGGATAATGGGGGTGGAAAAAAGATATCCTCTCCAGGGACTCGAACCGGTGATGAGGGGTGGCCCGGAAGGGAGTGGTGTCTGCCCCGCTGTTTCGATTGTATTTGAAGCTCTTTGAAGAAATGGAAACGCTGCGCTCAAAGGCAGAAGGAGGGGGCGATGTACGACCCCTCCAGTCTCTCTCGGGTGTTAGGGATTTGCGAGCCTGCAGCCCCGGCTACTCCACTCTGTCTGCCGAGGACAACCTTTCCTTAGGTCAACACGGCTGGGTCTTGAGAACACGACCCTCCGCCCACAATGCCCTTTATTCCTTTCCGTGGCGTGGGTGGGTGGGGGGTTGTTTAAAGATATTCCAACCGGATTTGGGGCCGAGCCTTTTCTGCAAAGTGAAAAATCGAGTGGGTAGGAGGAGCGCCCAAACGGGCTGCAAGGAGATCTTTATGCCTAAAACGTGGTCAGTCAAGGTGAGTAGACAGGACACGTCATTTTTTTTTTTTTTTTTTTTTTTTTTTTTTTTTTTTTTTGACGCACTTAGAATTTTTAGCCTCCAGGAGAGGTAACTTAGACACACGGTATTGGTTCGTTTCAGCTGGCTCTTTAAAATCTATTTTAAGTGTCTAATTTATGACCCAAAAGGAAAAAAAAATGGCAGTGCTCACCGTTTAAACGTCTATCTCCCAAGACGAGAACTGGGGGAAGTGTTACTTAACCTTTCATTCGGCTTAAGTCGGAGCTAAGGTCCATTTGCTGTTTTTGTACTTTAAAGATAGTTCCCTGAATTATTCTGGAATTTCTTGGAGGACCATGGCTAAATCCACACCCCCATCCCAACAGACCACACAACACTTACAGCTGGGTGGCAGGAACGGGTTAAAAGGGTACGAGGGGGTGAGAGGGGAGACAGCTGAATGCTGGAAGGCTGGAGAGGACTCTGGGAATTACAATCACTTCTTCTAAAGAAGAGAGCTGAATTCCTCGAATAATTGGCAAGTGGTCCTTTCCCCCTTGATAGTCAGAAGATGAAAATATTCTAATACAAAGAAATTAATCAAGGAGGACGGGATGATTTGTGTTTGGGCAAAATCTTAACACGCTCAATTCTTGCTCTTCTAAACACTAACACAGAACGACCAGCAGGTGGCAATAGATTACAATTTCTGAGAAGAAACAACAGTTTCCCACCCCCCCCCGCCCCCCCACCACCAAGGGAGCATTCTTCAAAGAAGAATGCAGGCTGATACTCATCCCTGCCATATTTCACAAAGCAGGGCTTTTTCAAATGCTCAGAAATGCCGAGTGATCTGAAACACCCAGGGTGGTGTGTCCCTTTGGTGAACGACCAGGGGGTGCATGGCATCTGTTTTTTTTCCCACCTAGCTGTATCCCTAATATTCAAAGATAGAGAAGCTTTGAATATTAGGCAAGAAATGGTTTCCTTGCAAACTGGAAACCAAGGAAATACAGATCTGGATTGCAATTCTGACAGGGAGCTTCAAAGGTGTATCTGTGTTTTCTGATCTCAACAAAAACCAAGGCAAAATCAGTCCTTCCCCAAACGGGTGGGATGCAAAAAGAAGGATTTCCCACCTGAGATGCTTCAGTGAAATACAGAATTCATGGGAGACTGAGCACAGTAATATTTTATTCATTACTTTTAGTGTTAAAGCTCTTGAACTATTTAAAATAACAGATATTTACTCCCCATTTTCAAACATAGGTATCTGGGACAGTTGTTTGTGAAAAGGTTCTGGAAATTTCTGACTTAGTTGTGAAGAATCTAATAATTTAAACTTTGATTCCAGGTCAGGTTTCTTCCCCTAATGCTGGCCAGTTACTCAGGGGAGTACTGGAACCTTAACAGAAGGGGTGCATCACTGCCGTTCCCATTAGGCCCCACCTTCAACATTGGGGATCACATTTCAGCACTATATTTAGATATTGTGACAGTAGCTGATGAAAACACTCTCTTACACCAAGAAGGACCAGGGGGGACTGGGTGTGGTGGTTCATGCCTGTAATCCCAGCACTTTGGGAGGCCGAGGCAGGCGGATTGCTTGAAGCCAGGAGTTCAAGACTAGCCTGGGCAACATGGCAAAGCACCATCTCTACTAAACATACAAAAATTAGCTGGCGATAGTGGTGCATGACCTGTAATCCTAGCTACTTGGGAGGCTGAGGCACAATAATCACTTGCAGTCGGGAGGCAGAGGTTGCAGGGAGCTGAAATCATGCCACTGCACTCCAGCCTGAGCAACAGAGTGAGACTCTGTCACCAAAGAAAAAAAAAAAAAAAAGGCCAAGTGGGAAGCAAAGGGAACTCAGGGGAAATCTGGTTGCACAGAATTGCTTACTGTGGGCCCAGCCTGGCCAACAGTGGTGGTGCTGGGGTCTGTGGGGGACTTTAGAAACCTCTCTCTCTGTATCTCGGTCTCGCTTGTAGTTTCTCTTTCTTTAGCAACATGACTAGTCATTATCCTCATATTATACAGGTAGGAAATAAGTCTTAGGGAAGTTGTGTAGTGTGTTTATTGTATGAATTCTTGATTAATTATCATCTGAGGTCTTCTGTTTTCTTGATGAAGAAACTTAAGTCCAGAGAGGCTACAGGACTTCCCAGACCACATGATTAGCGTACAGGGGCCTGGAAATGCCTTCTTCTTCCCTCAGTCCCAGCACCTGATGCTCTGTTCAGTGTAGCCTTCTGGCCCTGTCATATAGTAATCATTTGATCTCAGAAAAATCATAGAATCTCTCCAGACCCCATAATGGGAGGGTTAGGGTATAAGATAAGACCGCATGAGGCTTCATTCATCTGAAATAATTTATTATTATAGGTATTTTGTGATTCTTCTCACCGGTGACTCTTCTCATGTTGTAATACCTTGCCATGGACTCAAGAACCTCTTGAGGCCCTCAAGGCAGCTTTTACTGGAAGAAAAGCAAAATGTTGAAGTCAGTCCGACTTGAGTTTAAATCTAGATTCTACTTACTGGCTATTGTTTGACTGCTCCAAGTTTACTTCTAAGTAAAATGGGGTTTAATACCAGCCTTATAGGCTATCTTATTTGATGCTCATAGAACCCATTTTAGGCTGGGCACAGTGGCTCATGCCTGTAATCCCAGCGCTTTGGGAGGCTGAGGCAGGCAAATCACCTGAGATGAGGTGTTCGAGACCAGCCTGGCTAACATGGTGAAACCCCTGTCTCTACTAAAAATACAAAACTTAGCTGTGGCACATGCCTACAATCCCAGCTGCTCAGGAGGCTGAGGCAGGATAATTGCTTGAACCCGGGAGGTGGAGGTTGCAGTGAGCCAAGATAGCGCCACTGTGCTCCAGCCTGGGCAATAAAAAAAAAAGGAACCCATTTTAGCAAGCTCAACTGTGTGCCTAATTAATGGTGTTCATTACATGTTAATTGCTGCTTCTGCTCCTTCCCCTTAGTTCAACAGTGATTTTGGTCAATTTAAATTTGTTCTCCTTGGATGTATAATCTAACTATAATATTTGTATTATTTTGCCAATTTCTTTCAGTAGTGCTACTGATCATTCCCTGACATAGGACTCAAAGCCCTCCTCTTTAGTGCCTTAGAGGTTTTTTTATAGTCCACAGAGATATTTTTATTTGTAGAGGAGAAAGTTTTCTGATGGAGTATTCAGACTCATAGGAAGGGGAGAGAGGGAGCCAGTTTTGTATTAGGTGAAATTTACACGTAATTATGGATTTCTGCCGGGATTCAATCTTTTGATCTTTTCTCTTTTCCAACCTCCATTTTCTCCCTCTGTACTCTCATCCAATCTGGCAGTTTCAGATATCCTAATTTTTATTTAAATAAAATAATTTAGACGTTGTTGACTCCCAAATTTATACCTTTACCATGAACATCTGTCCAACATTCCAGGTTCATATTCCAGTTGAATTTTTCACTTGGATTTCTTTTCTTTTCTTTTTCCTTCATTCTGTCCTTCCTTCCTTCCTTCCTTCCTTCCTCTCTCTCTCTCTCTCTCTCCCTCTTTCTTTCTTTCTTTCCTTTCTTTTCTGGAATCTCGAACTGTTGTCCAGGCTAAAATGCAATGGCACAATCTCAGCTCATTGCAACCTCTGCCCCTGGGTTCAAGCAATTATCCTGCCTCAGCCTCCCTAGTAGCTGGGATTACAGGTATGCACCACCATGCCTGGTTAATTTTTGTATTTTTAGTAGAGACATGTTGGTCATGCTGGTCTCGAACTCCTGCCCTTAGGTGATCCGCCGCCTGGGCCACCCAAAGTGCTGGGATTACAGGTGTGAGCCACTGTGCCTGGCCATCCACTTGGATTTCTAATAGGCATCTACAACTTAAGGTGTCCCAAATTGAACTCCCAATGCTTTTCCCCAAACCTGTTCCTATTTCAGTTTTCTCCGTCTCAGTAAATGACTAGAGGCAACTCCACCCTTCCAGTGGGTCTGGTCCAAAACCTTGAAGTTATCACTGACTTCTTCCTTTCAATCTGTCAGTAAATTCTGATGGAGCTACTTTCAAACTTTAACAACTTCACTGTTTCTGTTCTTACTATCCTTCATTTCCTTCCCCAAAACACGCAATGTAAAATACTAAGTCATGCTCATATCATGGCTTTCCTCTACTCAAAACCCTCTAATGATTCTGCATCTCAGAGGAAAAGACAAAGTCTTTATAATACTTACAAGGCCCTACACGATCTGACCTTGTTACCTGTTTGAGTTCTTCTTGTACTTCCGATACTGCTCTGCCCATCCTCACTCCACCCTAGGGACAATGGCCTCCTTGCTGTTTCATAAAGATAAGCTAGAATGGGCCAGGGACTTTGTAATTATTAACCCTGTGCTGGGAAAGTTCTTTCCTTAGTCATTTGTAGGGTTTGTTCCTTCTCATTCTGGTCTTTACTTAAACGTTCACGTGTTCTCCCAGTGAGATCTTCCTTTTTCCTTATATTTAAAATTGCAGGCTGAGCATTGTGGATCCTAGCACTTTGGGAGGCCGAGGATCTCACTCACTAGTCACCCAGGCCAGAGTGCAGTGGTGCAATCATGCCTTAATGCAACTTTGACCTCCCTGGCTCATGTGATCCTCCCACCTGAGCCCCACCCCTGAGTAGCTGGGACTATAGGCTCACATCATTATATCTGGCTAATTTTTTGGTTTTTTGTTATTTTTTTGTGGAGACAGGGTATAACTATGTTGCCCAGGCTGGTCTTGAACTCCTGGGCTCAGTTGATCCTCCCACCTTGGCTTCCCAATGTGCTGGGATTACAGGTGTAAACTAATGTGCCCAGTCTGCTTTAACAGGTTTTTAAAGAAAGCTCAATTTAGCAAGTTTTCATTTGAGATAAGTTTCTTGATGTATTCCCTTAATTTTGTTTAGTGACATATGATTTTTAATATTTTTTCTCTTATTTTCTTTCATTGGCAGGTTGTGAGCTAAGAGAAGGTGGCTTTAGAATGAGGATGTTGTCTGCTGATTTAAATACTCTGTTTTCTGGCCAGGTGCCGCGGCTCATACCTGTAATCCCAGCATTTTGGGAGGCCAAGGTGGGCAGATCATCTGAGGTAAGGAGTTCGAGAGCAGTGTGGCCAAATGGTGAAACCCCATCTCTACTAAAAATACAAAAATTAGCTGGGCATGGTGGCAGACACCTGTAATCCCAGCTACTTGGGAGGCTGAGGCAGGAGAATTGCTTGAAGCTGGAAGGCAGAGGTTGCAGTGAGCCCAGATTGCGCCACTGCACTCCATCCAGCCTGGGCAACACAGCAAGATTTGGTCTAAAAAAAAAAAAAAAACCTCAGCTCTCACCTTTAGTTGGATTCTTCTGATGCCAATTGGAAGAAACTGAATTTGGTGCCTGCTTTGATGGGAAGGAGGTTTTTCTCTTAACATATTGTCCAGTGGTAGGCTAGGAACTGTGAAATCCATCATCTTAAAGAATAGTCATTTTCAAGCAAGACTTTTTATGAAAAGACATTTAGAATAATCTTTATTAGGGAAGAAGATACATTAGGGACCTGAGAGCATTGGACACCAAAAGCCTAGTTACAATGTTGTTGAAGCATTAAAAAGGGGGGAGAGCAGCTTATGAAAATTAACTACTAAAATATATGTTGTTGTGCAGCAAGAGGAACTACGTAATAAATCCTAATAAAATAGGGGCTTTGAGGACTATTGGAGATGGATTGCAATTAACCCTGCTTCAATATCCAATTAGGCATCAGGATAAGCAATTTGTAAATGCATTAACTGGTTAATATTTTATGAAAATCAGCAAATTTCCTTCTCAGGTGACTTTTTTTTTCCTGTACTTAATGACCTATTAGCTTATTAATTAGTATTTATTCCCATTAGAAACTTCCAGCACACGAGAAAGAATACTAAGGCATACTAAAATGCCTCATGCAATTGGTAATCCATGAATGCTGATATCCTTCCTTATGTTAATGTTTCTGATCCTACAGTCAATTTTATCTTAATTCTTTTAACGTTTTTTTCTTTCAAAAAAATGCACACTTTCTTTCCTTTAAAGTAATATATGATTGCTGAAGAAAGCTTATGACTTTAGAACGATGAAAAAGGAAATAACCTCATCACTCAAGCACAACCATGATTAGCATTTTCATTAACCCTCCTCACCCATTATTTCCCCCTACCCCATGTATAGGCTAAATTTAAAAGGTTTTAGCCTCCAACAGATATTTGTATACTGGTGTTCATAGAAGCATTATTCACCATAACCAAAAGGTGAAAGCCACCAAGGGGTCCATCACTGGATGAATGGATGAACAAAATGTGCATATGCATACAGTGGACTATTATTTAGCAGTAAAAGGAATAAAGTATTGATATATGCTATGATAGGTGTGAACCTTGAAGACATTAAGCTAAGTGAAATAAACCAGTCACAAAATGACATATATGATTCTACTTATACAGAGGACCTAGAGTAGTCAAATTCATGAAGCAAAAAGTAGAATGGTGGCTAACGGGAGTGGGAACTGATGAGTTATTGTTTAACAAGGACAGAGTTTCAGTTGGGCAGATAAAGCAGTTCTTGAGATGGGTGCTGGTAATGGTTGCACGGCAATGTAAATGTACATAATACCACAGGACTATACACTTGAAAATGCTTAAAATGAGGCCTGGTGTGGTGGCTCACACCTGTAATCCCAGAACTTTGGGAGGCCAAGGCAGATGGGTCACGAGGTCGGGAGTTCGAGACCAGCCTGGCCAACATGGTGAAACCCCATCTCTACCAAAAATACAAAAATTAGCTGGGCATGGTGGTGCGCACCTGTAATCCCAGCTACTTGGGAGGCTGAGGCAGGAGAATCGCTTGAACCTGGGAGGTGGAGGCTGCTGTAAGCCAAGATCTCGCACTGCACTCCAGCCTGGTGACAGGGCAAGACTCTGTCTCAAAAAAAAAAAAAGTTGCTTAAAATGATAAATTACATGTTATATATGGTTTACAATAAAAAACTTTTAGTTATAAAAATGATATGTGACCATGATTTTAAAATTTTAAGGGAATAAATGAAAGGTGTAAAATGAAAGGTAAAACTCTTCTTACCTACCTCCCCTCCTCAATTGCACAACCCAGAGATAACCATTGTAACCAGTTTCATATTTCTGCTTATCCTGTGACTGACAGAAGGACCCGCCAATTCCTCTTCTTTGGCTTTGAGTGCCCATGAACCCTTGGTGAGCTGAGGGTAACCTAAGCATCCAGTTTGACTTACACAGTCTTAGGAGACGTTATTGGCATTATTGTGCTTATTGTGCTGTGGGAGATACACCAGATATACTCTCAGCTACTAGTGATAGAAGAAATGAAGCAAAATGGTTTAAATAGCAAGAAAATGTATTGTCTTACCTAGTAAGAAAATGTCTTCAAGGACCGGGTTCCTTTTTGTCTCTGCTCTGCTGTCCTTAGCCTGGGCTTCAGCATAAGACTTATTCCTGGTTCTAAGATGGCCGCCAGCAGCTATGAGGACTCCTTTCCCTCTTGTTAATATCCAGCACCTGCTGAGGTTTTATCAGCTGAAATTGACGTAGTTCTGCCCATGCCTAGTAATAACTAGTAGCAAAGGGGATGGTATTACCATGATTAGCTTAGATTTATCATCTTGGGTGGAATGGATATGGGGGAACCAACCATGGTATGTGTTATAAGCCGTCTCTTGGTTCAGAGGGGTACATTTTGAATGAGGCTATGCAAGCCAATCTTTTCTCCCAGTGCTTTACTTCCCAAGCTCCTCCAAGCTCTGCACACTCCCCTTGCTCCATTATAACTCATATCCTATGAGGACTGCGGGGGGGGGGGGCGCTTATTAGGAGGGCCAATCAGAGAGACCTTTATACTCCTTAGTCTGGCCTTGGAGGCCTTATCTTACCTGCCTCTTGTGAACTCTCAAGACCTCCTGGTATAGGACTTTTGCCCTGAGTCCCACAACGTTTCCGATGTCCGTAGACTTTACTTCACATCTGGTACCATGAGCTCTGTTCAAGTGCTTCCCCTTGACCAACATCAATATTTCAGGCAAATACCAAAGTTACATCTATCTTACATGTCCACCAGGATAAAGCTAAAGGGAAACAAATGTTGTAATTAAAGTAAATGCAGGCTGGGCATGGTGACACACACCTATAATCCTAACACTTTGGGAGGCTGAAGTGGAATGATCCCTTGAGGCCAGGAATTGAAGACCAACTTAGGCACCATCGCAAGACCCAGTCTTAACAAAATATTTAAAAATTAGCCAGGGGTGGTGGTGTGCACCTGTAGTCCCAGCTACTCGGGAGACGGAGGTAGGAAGATCACTTGAGCCCAGGAGTTTGAGGCAGTGAGCCGTGTTTACGCCACTGCACACCAGCCTAGCCAACATAGCAAGATCCTATCTCAATCAGTCAATCAATCAATCAATCAAGACAGGTTATCACCTTGTTTAGTATATAAGACAACATAGGGCAATTGAAGGCTATGAAAGGACCAATACTGGAGAAGGGATGCAGCTGATTCCACACTTGGACTGCCGGGGTAGTGGTTCAACTAAATGCTGCCGTGTGTTTAGTTCTTCTAATGTATTAGATAAATGCCTTGCAAGTTAGCCCTTTTTCCAATCTGGTCCTCTCCACTGGCCTCTTAGGGAGGAAACCATAGCGTGAAGGGCAGGGTATTGGAATAAAATGACGTGGACTTGAATCTGCCAGTTCCCAAGTATGTGATTTTTAGAAAGAGAAAAGCTCTCTACGCATCACTTTCTTCGTATGTAAATTGGGAATAATAATGTCTATCCCATACGTGTGTTATAAGGACTAAAAACATGAACATATGAATGATTAATATTGTGCCTAACACATTACAGGTAGCTGTTATTATCAATTCTATTAAACAGGCTCAGGCTCATCTCTCTCTCTCTCTTTTTTTGAGACGGAGTCTCCCTCTGTTACTCAGGCTGGAGTGCAGTAGTGTGATCAGATCATGGCTTTCTGTGGCCTCAAACTCCCAGGCTCAGGTGATCCTTCTGCCTCAGCCTCCCAGGTAGCTGAGACTGCAGGCACGTGTCACCACTCTCGGCTGGTTTTTATATGTTTTATAGAGATGTTTTTACCATGTTGCCTAGGCTGGTAAACATGCTCATCTTAAATGTTTTACAAATAGTACTCCACTTACCTTGTGTCTTCCAATGATACTTTATCTTTTTTCTTTCCTTGTTTTTTTGCCTCACCTCCAATGTACTCAAATTCACTGAAATATGGCACCCCCCATCCACACTCAATTGGCACAGCTTTCCCTAATATCACCAACCGCCTCTTTGTTGCTATCCAATTACTCTTTTAGTTCTTATGTTACTTGTCTTCTCTGCAACTTTTGGCAAAGCAGGTTTTGGCAGCCTCCTTGAAACTCTTTTTCTGGGTTTCTGTGGTGCTGCTCAATATCAGTTAGGAGGCTTTTGGCAGCAGATTAAAGAAACCTTGATCCAACTGGCTTGAACAATAAGAAAGTTTATCTCATAACATAAACTTAGAGGGCTGGCTCCCAGGGCTGTCGATTCAGTGGCTGATCATTATCAGGGACCTAGGTTCTTTTTGTTCTTCCATCCACAGCATCAGCTTCTTTCTAAGATTAGCTTCTCTCATGATCATGAGATGATGCCAGCAGTAGCTAGGGCAGCATGCTTCCTGGTTGTTAACCAGAAGAATAGAGGAACATCTATCTCCTCCCAATCATGAAATAAAGTCCTCAATCTTTTTAGGACAAGTAGGTCACACGTCCATCTCTGGGACATAACAGTCACCAGAGAAATGCCCAGGCACTGGTTGGCTGAGTCTCATGGCTACGTACGTGGGGCGTGAATATCTGAAGAGAATCAGGACTCTCTTTGCAAAGAAAGGGAAAAGGATAGTTGCTGAGTAGGAAACCGACAGTGTCCACCATATTTGCTTTCCCCACTTTCCTCTTGGTTGTTGTTCTCAGTCTATATGTGCACTTCTTTTTCATGGACTGCCACTTAAATGTTGGCGATCACTATAATTCTATCCCTAGGCCTCTTCTATTTCAACTACACTCTCTCCATGGGTCCTCCACTCTGTTTTTTTGACTGCTATCTCTAATTGATGACTCCGAATAAAGGTGTATTTCCAGCCCAAGTGTCTTTTTTAAGCTTCATACCATGAAAACTAGTTAACACTTACTCAATACTTCCTGAATTAGGCAGAATAATGCATCCCTCTACTCCCAAGATGTCTACATCTTAAAACCCAGAAACTGCAAATATGTTAGGTTACATAGAAATGGGGTATTGAGGTTGCAGATGGCGTTAACCTTGCCGTTCAGCTGACTTTAAGATAGGGAGATTATCTTGGATTATCCAGATGGACCCAATGTAATCACAAGTGTCTTTAAAAGCGAAAGAAAAAAGCAGGAGAGAGAACAGAGAGACGGCAGCCTGAAGAGGACTTGGTCAGACATTGCTGGCTTTGAAGGTGGAGAGAGGGGGCCATGAGCCAAGGAATATGGGTGGGCTCTGACAGCTGGAAAAGGCAAGGAAATGGATTCTCTCCTAGAGCCTCTTGAAGGAATACCTTGCCAACATCTTGCTTTTGGCCCAGCGAGACCCATTTTGGACTCAGAACTTCCGGAACTGTAAGATAATAAACTTGTGTTGTTTTAAGCCCCAAAGTTTGTGGTCACTTTTTATAGCAGCAGTAGGAAATGAATACATTTTCCATAGTCAGCTTGTGCAAGTGAACTTCCCTCTTCTTCAGCAAAGCTGGTTTCCTGTGTTCTTCTCTTTAGGGGCTGGCATCACCATGCACGTTGTCCTCCCACTAAGAGTCATCCTTCACCTCTACCTCTTTACCACATTTACTTTATCACCAATTTCTGCCAATTCTTTCTACCTTTAGAGTAACCCCTCCATTCAATTCCTTCTCCCTGCTACTGTCTCTTTTCAGGTTACAACTTTGAACTGCTAGAGTCTGTATTCAACTCTAGTCTGCTCTCTATACTTTCAAATTTTATTTTTCATTCAGATCCATAGGAAGAAATACATTTCACATCAAGATCTAGGGAATGCACACACTCCTGAAACAAAAGTTTCAGAAAACAATACTTGCCATACTCTTTCGCAGTATATGCTGAAGTCTTCTGTGTTTAATTTTGTAAAACCCCAGCTATCTGTGATTTACTGCAATGATTTCAAAACTGACCAATGGATGGTGATGTGCAGTTTAAGAAGATGTCTTTTCTACCTGGCTATCAGAATGCTCTTTCTAAAATACAACTATTTTCCTTAAAATCCCTCAATGCCTCCATTACTCTAAGATAAAGTTCAAACTCTAACATGGCTTCTAAGACCCTCCATCACCCAGTTCTTTTATCACTGTAGCTTTATCTTTCTCCACTCTAACCGGTTCATTTTCATTTTACAATCCAACCTTACCTGTTTAACTTTCTGGACTCAGAGTGTGTCTCTGAGCCTTTGCAAGCTGTGTTACCTCCTCAAACTGTTGTCTACCCACTTCTTCTTGTAGCTAATTCCCACTTAAATCTTAGTGTAGACTTCACTTCCCTCCAAATGCTTTTCCTGGATGCCTAGACTGGGTTAGGTGTCGCTCCTGCCTTCCCACAGGCTCCTACAATGGCAGTGTTTATAACCTGTATTTCACAGTAGTGCTGTTTAAGAGCAGAGACTGGTTTTGTTCCCTACAGAATACCTAGGAGGCCTTCAGTAAATACTTATTGTATAAATACATGAAACTTTTTCAGTGGGTTCCTCTCTCAAGTCTATTGAGTAGGCATTCTTATATATTCTCATATTGTTGGATATTTGGGTTCATTAACATCATTACAATGAAGGCACAGGTCTGGGCTGGGCGTCATGGCTCACGCCTGTAATTCCAGCACTTTGGGAGGCCAAGGCGGGCAGATCACAAGGTCAGACTGAGACCATCCTGGCTAACATGGTGAAACCCTGTCTCTACTAAAAATACAAAATAAATAAATAAATAAATAAATTAGCTGTGCATGGTGGCACACACCTGTAGTTCCAGCTACTCAGGAGGCTGAGGCAGGAGAATCTCTTGAACTCGGGAGCGGAGCTGGCAGTGAGCCGAGATCGTGCTACTGCACTCCAGCCTGGTGACAGAGTGAGACTCCTTCTCAAAAAAAAAAAAAAAAGGAAGACACAGGTTTGGAACTGAACTGTCTACACAGACATAACTCATTGGCAGACTATTAAGTAGTGGGTCAAGGTTCACAAAATCTCTCATATGGGGGCATAAACCAAGCATCTCTAAGTTTCAGTTTCCTCATCTGAATTCCAACATTCTAGTCAGTATTTAACCTTAGATTCCTCAATCACATCAAATTCAATTTGTGTAACTGATGGGGATTACGGCATGTTCTTCAGATGACTGAGAAGCAAGTAGGTTAAATAATGTAAAAAATACTTTGCAGATTTTTAGTTGTTATTAGTACATACAGACACACATGCCTATTGCCAGGTCACTTTACCATTTCATTGATTAATGAGTGCAAATAGAATGAAGAGTATGGATGGGGGTACTGATGATCCTGAATGAACAAACCTCATAAATTCTTAGATTTAGCTATAACATGGCTTGTGATATCATAGCTTTTTATTCAGAGAGTTTCTTCCTCAAAGCTTCCCTGTTCCTTTAAAAGAAAACTAAAATGTCATTGTAACTTATTTAGTCTTCAATGTCAGTTTTAGGGTATACTATGAACTTGTTATGGAGGGTTCTCCTTAATCAGGTAAGCATCATCAGATTGGCATATGGTGGTTTTCCTATGGTGGAATGAATATTAAACCCAAATGAAAATGAAAAGAACAGGTAATTCCTGAGATCGGTGTCAGCCAGACCTCTGATGCTATTTGGTTATTTATGCATGAAGTCCTGAGAGTTTACTGCAGATTAAGAAAGGGTGATTAGAGGATCACACATATCCATCTTCATTTCTTTTGGTCATCCCTATGAATTGGTGCTGCAGATTTTCTTCCTCTGAATGTTAGCAGGCCACAAAATGGCTAAAGAATAAACAGTGCTGCAAGCATTTTGGATATGTTGTGACACTGCAGTGACATAAGATAAAAATTCAAAATGCTTCCCCTCAAATCAAATTGGCACATTCCTAAACAACTTACTTATGAATATTTTTCTTTTACCTCAGTTACTGCTTTTGTCTATATGCAGTTTGTCCCCTTCAAAACTCATGTTGGGCTGGGTGCAGCGGCTCACACATACAATCTCAGCATTTTGGGAAGCCGATGTGGAAGAATCGCTTGGGGCCAGGAATTTGAGACCAGCCTGGGCAACATAACAAGACTCTGTCTCTACAAAAATTGTTTCAAAAAATATTAGCTAGGTGTGGTTATAGCATGTGCCTTAGTCTTAGTTACTCAGAAGTCTGAGGCAGGAGGATCACTTGAGCCCAGGAGTTCAAGGCTACAGTGAGCCATGATCACACCACTACACCCCAGCCTGGGTGATGGAGCAAGATCCTGTCTCAACAACAACACAGAACCAAACCAAACAAACAGACAAAAACTCATGCTGAAATTTGATCTCCAATATGTGGTGAAGTTGGGAGGTGGGAGGTGTTTGGGTCAGGCAGGTGAGTTGAATCCCTCATGTGTAGGTTAATTTGGGGGCAGGGGGTGAATGAGGTCTTGTTCTCATAGGAATGGATTAGTTTCCATGAGAGTGGCTTGTTAAGAGCCTGGCTTCCTTGGCTTCTCTTCCTTCCTCTCTTGCTGTGTGATCTCTTTGCACTTGCCTGTTCCTCTTCTACTTTCTGCCATGAGTGGAAATAGCGTGAGGCCCTTGCCAGATTCAACTGCCCAATCTTCAACTTCCCAGCCTGCAGAACTGTAAGCTAAACAAACCTCTTTTCTTTATAAATTACCGAGCCTCAGGTATTCTCTTACAGTGAAACAGACTAAGACAGTTACCTTACAACCTAATTTGAAGGTGGCAGAAATTCATCAAGGACTACAGAATCAGCAAAATAACATAGATTGATACATAAGAAGTGTAAGTCTTGTAAATGTTTTATGAAAGAATATACATATTTCCATTAACTTTCACTTCATTTGCTTGTTTGTTTGGTATATATGCCCTATTATTTGCCAGGCACCTGTCCAGTTGCTAGGGGTATTATGAGGAAAATAACAAAGTCCTACTTTATGGGTGTTAGAATCTCTGGCAGGTAGGGAGAAGATGAACAATTAAACAAGCATTTCAGACAGTGATACATGCTGTAAAGAACATACAATGAATGGGCTGGGCACAGCGGCTCACGCCTGTAATCCCAGAACTTTGGGAGGCCAAGATGGAAGGACTGCTTGTAGCCAGGAGTTCGAGACCAGCCTGGTCAATGTGGCAAGACCCTATATCTAAACAAACAAACAAACATATGATGAATGATATAAAAGTGCCTGAAATGGTGGTAATTTGTAGGGGACTAAATGCATGAATTCTAGGGCAATAATGTCCATGCATAAATACAGGCTCTACAAACAAATAGGTGTATGACACTGGACAAATTATCATCCTCTCTGTGCCTCAGTTTTCTCATCTGTAGAATGGGCATAATAATAGTATTTAATGGGGTTATTGAATTATATAATGTGCATAGAGCAGTTTGAACAGTACCTGGCACACAGTGCTGTGTAAGTGTTTTCAACTATTTTCCCCTTTTGAGTAACTCATATATTGAACTAAGGCCTATATATTAGGAAGAGTCTTAAGCTAAGAATATAGGTACCTTAAAAGAAACTCCGTATCAAATAATGAATAATTAGACTAAAATGCCACTCTCATCTTTCTATTTGCATGATATACATTAATGAAAATACATGAAGATTTAAGTATCGCAGCAACACTCATGATCCATCTTCACCCTCGTCAGAGCTCCCGTCACTCTGCTCGTCACTTTCTCCTTTACTCTCACCGCTGCTGTCTTCATTACTATCTTCACTGTCTTTCTCACGATTCTGAGTTTTCTCTGCCACAAAAATGAAGAAGATTAAAGTGTTTCTTAATATTTCGCTCTGAAAAATAATTCTCCTTGCCCTTCCCTCTACCAAGAAATACATACATTTGCAACGTAAGAGCTGAGTTGGACTTGGCTAACTGCACATAGAGTCAAAGTGGCAGTACAAAGAAGAAACGTATTTTTATGGCATACAGGTATTTTTTATTTAAAATTAATTTAAAACATAGGTCTATAAAAATAATTTTACTGTTGTCAATGAATTTCTATTGAATAATTTCATAGAATTCTATCACAGAATTTCATTGACAACAGTAAAATCATCCATTGAAAGGAAGTGAGACAGGGCAATTTAGAGGCTTTGGCTTCCGTTGGAATTGTGGGTAACTCCTTTAACACATGGCTGTGTTCGCCTGTTCTGCTTGTCAGTACCTGTTGCCTGGTGCCTAGGGAGCCTGCGTTGCTTGGGCAGTTCTATCCCACAGAAAGAAGGGGGTCACTGTGACCATCCACAGAGGACAAGCTGTTTCACTAAACCATTTAAGACAGCCATTTAGCCTTTTCTTAACCACTTCCTAAAGATGTATTGACAATCTACCAGGATAATGGGTTTTTAAAGAGTGACTGCTTATAGTTCTACAAGAAACAAGGAATTTCAATTTTTAAAATTACCCATCAGCAACATTTCTTCAATAAGTGTGAAAAACTCTTTGGCCTCAGGATTTTCTGGTTCATAGATTAGGACTGAAAATGGACAACAGAATGTGTGTTATTAAGGTTCAATGTTTCAGCAAACAGGATCCTTAGAATGAAATTGAACTGTCACTCAGAGCACGTGAAATGCACAAAGTGATAAACACTAACAATTATACTACAGGTATATCTCAGAGCAAATATAGAAAATGCTGTACTTATATTTGGTGCTTTGGAAGAGAAATGATCCCCTTTTTTTTTTTTTTCTGAGACACCGTCTCGCTCTGTCACCCAGACCGGAGTGCAGTGGCACAATCTCGGCTTATTGCAGCCTCTGCCTCCCGGGTTCAAGAGATTCTCCTGCCTCAGCCTCCTGAGTAGCTGGGACTATAGGCATGTGCCACCATGCCTGGCTAGGTTTTGTATTTTTAGTAGAGACGGGGTTTCACCATGTTGCCCAGGCTGGTCTTGAACTCCTGATCTCAAGTGACCTGCCCACCTCAGCCTCCCAAAGTGCCGGGATTATAAGCATGAGCCACTACTCCCGGCCCTCATTTTGTTTTCTACCTCCTATCCATAGAATGCAATCTCTATCACCTCAGTATGGCTTCTCTTATAGGCCAGTAGCCAAAGTGTTTCATGAACATAATCATTTCCCAAAGAAGGTACAAATCCTGCCAAATATGGAGACTTTGCTAATGAAAAGACCGTGTGCCTAGAGGTCTGTTAATCCTTCATCACATGTCATCCACCCATCTACATGGCATCCTTTACTAAAGGTCTCATCGGAACACAAAGGAAGTTTTTATTTTTATTTTTTAATGCAACCTCTTCCATGGTAGAGATGCCATTTTTTTTTTTTTTTACATATTTCCAATAGGGGAAAGTGATGTTACTTCTTTCTCTTCATCTTGACAGCTTTTACTGTAGTCTACACCCTGGTCATCGCCTGCTTAACGACGTTCTCCACCTTCATTGGACCCACCGTTTTCAGCACTATTTATTCCTTTCTGCTGATGCTTTATGTGACTGTGTCACCTTTCTTTTGGAACTCACCAATAGACATTTTTAGGCTGTTAGTATGTTACCAAAACCCTAGAGGACAGAAAGATTTCTACCCTTAGTTTCAGAGTTGTCTAGACTATTTTATTTACTTTTTTACATCTTGCTCTACAGGTCCCTCTCTACTACTTCCTATCAGCCTTGAGGAGCATTCATAATTCCGCGTCATCCATTTAATGTTGTGACTCCTGCTCAGTATCTTGGTGGCCCCCAAGGCGGCACTAAAACATCAAGTGTGCTCTTCCTCTGGCTAAAAGTAAGAGATAATTGGGAGGCTGGGCACGGCTGGGCACGGTGGCTCACACT